GCAGTAAGTGCTGAATTTTATATTCTAAAAAGTACAAGGAAAATATTGAATTTTAGTCTGTTATCAGAATAGTTAAAAAATTAGTACTTTACAAAAATGTTTAAATACATTTCACTTGAAAAAATTACAAAGTCCTGTAAAAGCTATTATATGTTCTATTTTTTAAGTAAGTGAAAAAGACTATTATAAAATGTAAATTGCATAAAAGATAATGTGAATTTTGCATTTAATCTCATCCATGGTTATCTACCTCCTAACAAATATGCTTCCATCTGTAACATTATACCCTCATGAAAACAAACACAAATGCATTGACGAAAGGTGGCTTCTTTAGATGCTCATTGCTATGAGATTCATCATCTCTAAAACAAGGATAAAGGACGAGAAGCACAGAGATGGAGAACTTTTCATGAGCTGATAGATTTAATCTTATTGGTAAAGCAATATCTCATTGTATTCTTATATGGTACAATTGAAAATAAAAAAAGAACGGACTTTAGGTAAAATGATGAAAACAGAAATTTGACTTCTGAATCTCCAGCTTTTCTCTTCTGCATCAGTTTTTCATAACAAGCAAAGTAAGGCTATAAATGGGTAGGGAGGTAAAATATGGAGGATCAGAAGGAACGTTCTACAGTCACCATCCTAATGACCAGAGGATTACTCCAGTGTGACTTACACAAGCCTCTGGAAGTGCTGAGAGCAGAAACCCATGAGTAACATCAATTTTCAGTACATACAGCAATTTCTGCTCTAACATAGCGATGCCGATGGAGATCCCATTCTACCTCTGGTACTTCAGACATTCCTTTAACACTCTACCTTCAAGTATCCTAAATGAATGTTGAATAATTTTAAGTATGTTAGTTAATTTTCAGTTGGTGTTTAATGTTGTTTTGGCATTTAAATCCTGTGTTTTTTTTTTTTAAATACTTGCATGATTGTTATGACTTCTGGGGTAGCCAGCCTTCAAGAAGGCCCCCAACGACCTTTGACTCCTGGGATTCACATTCTTTTGTAGAATTCTCCTGCACTGAATACAATTGAGTTGTGTAACCAAGAGGACATTGCAGAAATGATGGTGTGTGGCTTTTGAGGCTAGATATCATAAAAGGCATTGCAGTTTTCACCTTGTTTTCCTTTCTCTCTTGCTACCCTGATTAAGTAATATGCTGATTAAGATGTAGAAAATTTCCAACACCCCAGAAAGTTCCCTCAAGGTCATCTGAATCAGTCCCTGTACTACTCTCTTCCCACAACCAGATTCAACCACTATATTTCTATAACCATAAATGAATTTTGATTGTTTTAGAACTTCACACAAATGAAAGGATGTAATCTTTTGTGTCTGGCTTCTTTTGTTCAGCATATTTTTAAGATTCATCCAAGTGTTGGCTTGTATCAGTAGCTCATTACTTTTTTTTTTTTTATTGTACTTCACGTGAAGGCTTACAGAACAAATAGTTTCTCATGAAACAGTAGTACACATGTTGTTTTATGGCATTGGTTAACAACCCCACAACATATCAACCCTCTAACTTCTCAACCTTTTTTTTTTGGTGAAAATACACATAGCCAAAGATACACCATTTCAAAAATTTCTACATGCACAGTTCAGTGACATGGACTACGCTCTTCCAATTGCGCTGTTATTCTCACTTAAGATGAAGGCTTACAGAACAAAATACTTTCTCATTTAACAGTTACTACAAATGTGGCCCTATGACAACGGTTAACAATCTCACAACACATCAACAATATCCTTACTCAACCTTGGGTTCCCTATCACCAGCTTCCTTGTCCCCTTCTGCCTTCTGGACTCCTGTACCTCGTTAGTCTCATTTGGTTTTACGGGGCTTTCCACTCCCAGGCTGAACAGTGAACCTTGGAGGTAACTTCACCACTGAACTAAAAGGGTGTCTGGGGGCCATACTCTCGGGGTTTCTCCAGTAGTAGCTCATTACTTTTTATTGCTGATACATATATCATGATTTGTTTATCCATTCTCCTGTTGATGGACATTTGAGTTCTTCCCAGTTTGGGGCTACTATGAATAATGTTTTTAGAACATTCTTGTACAAATCTTTGGGTGAATATGTGTTTTTCTTTTCTCTTGGTTAAATAGCTAGGCAGGGTTGGGACTAGGTTGAGGCAAGTGAGGTGCCAAGAGCGCAAAATTTAAGGAGGTCTTGTACCTAGTGAAACTGCTGGATCATAAAGTAGGTGTTTCTATAACAGTTCAGCCTTTTAAATTATAGCACTGAGATTTCACACTTGGATTTCTCAGGGGTTCTTTCGTTTAGAAATCCACAACTTAAACAAAGGGCAATAGTAGACTAACATGTTAATATTAGAAAACATAAAAATATATGCCTATAAAGGCAACTGATCAATATATTATCAAATGTAAAGCATGTTAGAATATGAAGTTGAGAATAACTTGCTCTAGAATGATCCTAAATCAAGTAAACTTCCGTTTTACAGATGAGGAAAATGATTAAGAGACTCTTCCAAGGTTGTCTAGCTAATTACAGACTTTTTCATCATACATAATTCTCAATCTTTTCACAAATTTGACCCAGGCTCAGTGTATGCATATGTCTATCTACATTGCACATGCAGACAGGCTGTGTCTCAAACTTCTAGGCAGCCATAAGACTGCTAGAAGTAAGGCACAGATACCCACTGGCATCAACAATTCCACTGGTACTACGTTCATCTGTGATGAAGCTGGACACATGAGACACACAGTGTTGGCAGAGTGAAAGCCATTATTATTATTTATAGAAAGCAAATAGTAAAAACCAACAATAGACTCCCAAAGGGGAAACAAATTACCCATGTCCATTCTTACGTCACTGGGCAGGCACGTAGTAGTTCAGGTCAGATGCTGTGTTCATGTCACCACTGCCTTCAGCTACCACTATGCTACCCGAGGTTTAGGCTCTGCCACTGGGCCTCCCTGGGCCTCATCTCACAGATGGGAAGACCCCTGCACAGGGTGTCCCAAGCCTCTGCTGCCAGGTCCTTCTAAGCCTCTGCTGCCAGCTCCCGCCATGCTACCCGGGCCTGAGGAGCTCTCTTGCCGCCATGCTACCTGGGTTCCCGCTGCCCAGGGGGGTAGGCATGCAGACCCTGTACAGGGCACACTCAGGCCTCTCCTGCTTTGCACAAGCATCACAGCTCTTTTAGCTCTGCTGGCAAGCATCCTGCCCAGAAGCATCCAGCTCTGCCCTGCTGTAAGAAGATCCCTACACAGGATCCTCCACGGCAACACCAGCACAGGGCACACTCAGGACTCTGCCCTGTATGGGCAAGTGTTTCAGCTCTCTCTTAGCTCTGCTGGCAAGTGCCCAGAGGCATACCATTCTACCAGCAAGCCTCCTGACGAAAGGCAGTCGGGTCTGTCCCGCTCTCTGGGTTGGCAAGCCCACTGCAACAGCCTCTCACTGGTCTCCTGGTTCCCCCTGCTGTACTGCTACCACTGTTTCTCCACTGCAGGGTTCTGCTATGCTTGCTGCCATTTCTCACTGTCTTCAGTGTTACACTCTCTCTTTTGGATCTAGGAGGTTTCTCAGTGCTGGGACCCTGGGTCCTTGGTCCAAAGGACATACGCCACCTCAGATTCTTCTTCTTGATGGTAGTAAAGTCCCCCCTCAACCTCTGTGGGATTGGCCCTTATGTAAGGAAACCCCTTGTCAATTACAAGGCATGGCCCTCCCACCAGGGCCATGAACTGACCAATCCCCTCAGTAGATCATAAGTCATTTAATTTGCATACTAAACTGATCAATTTCCTTGGTATAATTGGCTACAATTGGTTTTCAATTTTAATTTCATCTAGCTTTCACAGAGAATTGCTTTTAGCAGCAGTAGTCTATAAATAAAAGTACAAATTTATACGGATGAGCAAGAGCAGCATGTTCTTTAAAAAAAAAAGCAAACAAGAAAATCAAAGACTGATGATATGTAAAAACTACAATTACAAAAACATATACACTGAGTAAGGTTAAGCTATTTCCAAATACATAAAAAAGTCATTTGTATTACCTATGGTCAGATTGGACTTTTTAAAGAGGCAAGTAAGGCTATGGTATACTTGATATCTGCATCTTTCCTTCCAAAGACCACTTAAAACCAAATCATTTAAAGCAGCAAGGAAAGTACCTTAATTCAATTTATTTATTTCGCTTCTATCAACTAACCACCACTTAGTAAAATAAACATTCTTTTTCTTCCTTTGAAAAAGATTTATTTTCATGTAGAATGTGGCAGTGATGGAAAAGCTCTAAAAAATGAGAATAAGAATACTTCTTCAAACTTAGATAGATATTTACCACCCTATAAAGAATCATGGCAAGCATTTTTGATTGATTTAATGCAACTTCCTTTATTCATTAAAGAAAGACTTTGATGAACTTTAAGATAATTTCAGAAAATCTACAGAGAAGTTCATATAATAGTATATTTATAATAAAAGTTTCAAATACATACTCTTTTTCACAAGAGGTAGAAAGTAAACTTATTGAGTCATTGAAATAACCAAATTTAATATTTGTATCATTAAATTCTATCCAGTTTTCCATGATTATTATTTCTCAATACTCCCCAACATGGCCTTTATTTCCTGCAGTTCACTGTGTCCCTAGGAATACCAATATTCTGTGAGAAGTTACTACGTGCTCTTTTCAGGAAAATAATCTTAATCTCAGCTACTGAAATGCTTAGTACTAAGAAAATTTCAAGCTTTCCCATATATCAAGAAATTTTTTGTCAAGTACTTTGAAGAATGCCTACATTATAAAAGCTGAATATTGAACAATGTTCATGTTAAATTTCTATAAGGCTGCGAATTAAATTTCCTAAAATGAAAATTTGCACCTGGATTTGATCATTAAACAAGTAACAGAAGAAACCAAAACCCTGCAGTTTCTAGTTAAAATGCCTTTTTGTTTGCCAATTTCTGCTTTTCATTTAATTGTCCTGATACTACACAGTACCTCACGGGTTTCCTTTCTCGAAGCAAGTCTTCCAAACTCCGTTCACAGTGTTCAGCCACCACCACCAGTCTCTCTGAGTAAAATAAAGCAAATATACTTTATATTTTATTAACACAATGTTTTAATGACAAAATAATATACCTCATTGAAGATATTAACATATACTACAAAATAAAAATACTTTTAAAAAGCTTCTCAGACTCTATTAATAATTAGCAAATATATAGAATAATAGGATATATGTGACATGGATTGAATTGTGTCCCCAAAAAATATGTGTCAACTTGGCTAGGCCATGATTCCCAGTATTGTGTGGTTATCCTCCATTTTGTGATCTGATGTAATTGTCCCATGTGTTGTAAATCCTAATACCTGCCTCCGGTTAATGAGATAAGATTAGGTTATGTTAAAGAGGATTAGAGTGGATGCACCACCCTTATTTAGGTCAAAGCCCTGATCAGATGTATGGGGAGTTTCCCTGGGGTGTGGCCTTTACAAGAGATAAAAAGAGAGAGAAGCAAGCAGAAAGAAAGGGACTTCTACTACCAAGAATGAAGAGCTGGGAGCATAGCACATCCTTTGGACCCGGAGTTTCTGCACTGAAACTCCTAGTCCAGAGGAAGACTGATGACAAGGAACTTCCCCCAGAGCCAAAAGAGAGAGAAAGCCTTCCCCTGGAGCTGGCGCCCGGAATTCGGGCTTCTAGCCTCCCAAACTTTGAGAGAAAAAATTCCTGTTTGTTAAAGCCATTCACTTGTGGTATTTCTGTTATAGCAGTACTAGATAACTAAGGCAATATGTCTAATAAAACAATACACTAAATAACAGATCGTTTCCATTTTGTGTTTTTCTCTAGAGTTTCTCCCATGTGCATCAGAAAAAACAGATGGAAAGTTCACCCTGGCAAAAAAAGTGATTCTTCTTCTGACACAGACTTGGAGAAGAAAAGATTGGAGGAAGATGTAAAGAAATTTTGAAGTGAAGGGGAATTGGGAGTTAAGGACAGACTGCCTAGAAAATCTTGTTCAAATACAAGGTCTTCGAAATTGAGTTTAGAAACTTGAGAAAAGTAAAAATGTTCTGAATAATGGCTATGGAGAAAGAACAAAAATCCACTTGGGATTGTTTGCAACATGATGGGGTCTGCTGAAATTAAATAATATAAAATTGTAGTAGACACAATGAATATTATGATGTAATTTTAATTTTCTAACAGATCAACTGTCTAAGAATGGGATTGTACAGTTCTGAGGGTTGGCCCATACTTTTTTTTTTGCTCATCAGTTATCTCTAGTGACTAGCACAACTTTTACACACTATCAGATCAGTATTTTTTTGTTAAATGAATGAATGTAAGAGGAGCAAGAGAACCTAACCCACAAAATGGGCTCTAGGCTAGATAAAGTAGAAATTTAGCATAAAATTCAGACAACAGACTGAAACAATATGAAGTAAAGGTGCAGGAAGGTTGGAAATAGTGATAACTGCAAAGACGAGGTTTTATAAAAATGAAAAAGTCTCAAAGATAGAACAATGAGATAGTAAAAGAAGGAAAAAGGTAGTTCAGAGGAGGAGATTAGGCAAATGGAATAACTCTCAGTAATGAATGGATCAAGGTATGGTCTTATGTGTGGGAGCAGAGATGGGGCAGTCATGTGAGGTGTGAAGTTGAAACTGTTTAAGGTGGTGGTATTATAAAGAATGATCTGAAACACAAAAATTAAAAATGCCATAAATGAAAGCTGCCAGTTTCAGATGAAAGATTCCAAGTGGTCTAAATAGGAACTTAAAATTAAATTTGAAAGAACACTTAATAAGAAATAAAAAGGAAGAAAATCATGAGGTAAAAGGTCTAGTTCTTCAACTTAATAAAGGGCATGCAAAGTTGATCTCCAAGCAATTTAGTAGAATTGTGAAGTTCCAGAAGGAAAAAGTAGATAAAACTGAATATCAGAAAACCAAAATGGGAAGCTGCATTCCTTTGCTTTGCATCTTACCACATCCCATCACCTCTCCTTGCACCTATTGGGCTCCCTTTCCTCATTCTCCTCTGTTGACAGGCACCTCTTCTAGCTAGGCTTCTGGTTCCTCTACCTTTGACATTGGGTTTTCTTACTGTGTTTGCTCCTCATCCACTACACCAAGGTTAAAAACTCTAAAATTTTACCTCAAGCCTAGGCCTTTCTTCAGAACTCCAGGACTTTATAGCTAACTTCCTACTTTAATATAAAAGTCACCTCAAACTCAACACAACCAAAACTGAATTTATAGTCTGCTCTTCAAACCTGTTCCCATTAGTATTATTTCAGTAAACGGTACTACTAACTTGCCAGCTAGAAACAGGAATAATCCTTGGACTGCTATTTCCCCTTCTTCCTTTGTCAAATCCACACGAAGAGTCCTGCCTTTCTACTTCCCAGATGTTTCCAAAATCTGAACACATTGCTCAATCTGCCAGCATCATCTCTTACTAGATTACTGCAACAATCTCTTAACTGGCCTTCTCCCACTAACCACTAACTCTTGTTCCCCTCTAACATATTTTTTATACTAAAGCTCAAGTGATAAAGAAATAATTTAAAAAAATTGAATAGGTAACTTCTTGTCTAGCTTTATCTTTTTTTTTTTTTTTTTAATCTCTAGTTCCTCAAGTTCCAACCAAACCAGCCCTTTCTGCCCCTTCCTGCCTTAGGGCACTAGCTCATGGCATCCTAGTGCCTGATCTTCCCTCTTCTCTTCTCTCAGTTAACTCCTACCATGTAGCACAGACTATTTTGTCTGGGCTCAAATCCCAGTTTTACTACTCATTAGCTAGGTGACCTTGGGTAAATCTGTTAACTTCTCTATGCTGCAGCTTCCTCCTCTGTAAAATTAGGAAAACAAGAGCAGCTATCTCATATTGTGAGGTTGAAATGAGTTAATATATAATAAGATCCAAGAATAGTGCTGGGACATAGCAAACACTACCTAAGCGTTTGCTATTATTCTACATTCTTCAGGCCTCAGTTAAATGTGACTTCCTCAAGAAACACCTTTATGGTTCCTCAAAATAAAACTGTTCTTCCTATAATATACTCTATTATGCACTGTGCTTTTCTTCTGTAACACTTATTTCAACTCTAAGATTTGTGTATTTTTGTTTAATGTCTTCCTTCACTAGATAATGTTTCATGACAGCAAGAATGATGTTGGTCTTGTTCAAAATTCTATCACCAGTGTCTAGAATGGCACCTAGAACATACAGGCATCTAATATAGAAATACTTGTTAAATGAATTAACTTGACCAAAGGCATGATGTGGTCATTAGAAATTAAAAAGAATCTCATATGGTGACAATCATTATATAAACAGAGACCTGTCCTGTGTAGAAAATAATAATAATACCTCAGTAGCACTGATATGGAAACCCTGGTGGCGTAGTGGTTAAGAGTTCAGCTGCTAACCAAAAGGTCAGCAGTTCAAATCCACCAGGCGTTCCTTGGAAACCCTATGGGGCAGTTCTACTCTATCCTATAGAGTCGCTACGAGTCGGAATCAACTCGACAGCAACAGGTTTTAGTGCTGATTTTAACATGCAACAAAAACGTGAGAATTTATTAAAATGTGCATGTTTCATTATTAATTTTAAATTGGTTACTCATAAGCTTCCACATCTATGATAGATTTCCAAAGTGTTTGGCACTAGATTAAAATTTGTCAGACTTCTGGAAACACCCTCAAAATATCACAAAGCAGTGCTTGCCTAAGCATTGAGATTCTGTGGAATTTTAACCATTATTTAATTCTGCAGAACCATAATCCTTGGCAGAATATTAAAGTTTCTCTCAGAGGTAATACAATGTATACTAAACCAGCAATTTCAATATAAACCACTTTTTCAAGGAATCATTAAAAAGTCTTCATCCTAAAACTCTGGACCATTGTTTTAAAATAACTTTTGTTTGTTGTAAAAAAAACATAGCTTCATAGAATAAAATATAATAAAAAATATTTGTGAATCATAATGTGCCAAATACAAATCAGCAATATAGTGGTATTATTTATAAAAACCAAATGTGACACTAAGATGAACTCTAGAGAGCAGAGCATATAAGAATCATGAAATAATACTCCTTCTAACAAAGATTTGATGAATGCCAAATATCATGTAGTGTGTCTAGCCTGAACTGCATGTTTTAAGTCAATTCTCAGAAACTGAAGATCATGCAAAATTAAGCAAGACAAACAATAAATGAGTGAACAAGGTGAGAGTCTAAAAGAAATATTTTAAGTTATTATTTTTTTTAAACCTAGAGAAAAAAGAAGTGGTGAATTATAAATGCCTTAATATAATAGGAAGGGTTATTTAGGACATTGTCACTGCATCATTCTTTTGTTAGCTACAGTAAAAACTGAGACTAGCTCATCACCTTTTAAAAATATAATATTTAAATTAATATATAGTAAAAATGACAACGGAAAATTCCGTGCTTAAAAAACAATATTGGTACTAGAACACTGTGATAGTTTTATATATTAATTTAACTAGGCTATAGTTCCCAGTTATTCAATCAAACACTAATCTAGGTGTTGCTGTGAAGGTATTTTGTGAATGTGTTTAAAGTCTATAGCCAGTTTACTTAAAGTAAAGAAGTTATCCTAGATAATCTGGGTAGGCAAATTTCAATCAGTTGAAAGGCCTTAGAAGCAGAACTGAGGCTTTCCTGAAGAAGAAATTCTGCCTGTGGAGGCAGTTTTAGATCCTGCCTAAGAGTCCAGCTTGTCCTTCCTGGAGACCTATCCTACAGATTTGGGACTAGTCTAGACAGTTCCTACAATCACATAAGCAAATTCCTAGCAATTAATCTTTTAAATCTATATTTCTCTGTTGGAACCTTGACTGATACAGACACTTAGGTTGAAATTTATATGCAACTAGAGATATAGAATTGGTTATCTTATTGGTTCTTAAAAAATGCTATTATTCTCTATCTGAATTTCACACCTACTAGTCAAAATAATTTTGTTATTAATTTCATTAGCAATTATTGAAAGCCTTCTGAATAGTCAATATCAATAAAATGAGACTATTA